AACTAAAAAGATATTTAATGTTAAACATTAAAAAAAAATAATTACTATTATTTCAGTAGCCAAAAAGTGCACAGTTGCACAAAAGATGGAAGAAATATCACTTAATAATCACATTTGTGTTAAACTAAATCTATGATTCTTTATTTTTACAATAAAATAATTCGAATTTCAGTATTTATAACGACTTTTACAATCTCTGGATAAATCAGATATTGCTAGGCATTGTTGCTACAATTAATATTGAATGTTAAATATCTTCTTATTTATCAATTCTGGACAATAAAAGTTTATTTTTTTAGATGGACAATTTATCAATATTAGACGCAAAAATAAAAAATAGGGTGTTCCATTTAAATTTTTTAAGTTATTTAACTTTTAACAAACTTCTTAATTTATTAATCTTTACAAATGCAAAACACTAAAAAATTGCTACAGCTTTAAAGTCTGTACTTAATTCTTTGCATAAGTAAGAAAAAAATTGCTCTAGCTGTTTTAGTTTTTGTGTAACAAATTTTTAAAAAGTGCAAGTTTTCGTCCAAAAAAACGTCTTATTTCTAAAAATAAGCGAAATCGACTAATAAAAGTTTAATGTAAAAACATTGTTTTAAAAGGCTACACCCAAAAATCCCAAGAAATGTACGGTGTTTCATTTAAAAAACACATGCTTGTATCGTAACTTATTTTTGGGACATTCTGTGTAGTTGAAAATAATTTTAGGTGATGCACCACATTAGTATCTATCAATGTCTTATACAATTTTTTTTTATTTTACCGTTTAAAGGTCACTAATAGACTTTTTCAAATCGCTGGAACACCCTGTATAGCACAGATTCAGGCGCATTTTTTCAAAATATATTGAAACCTCAAAAATTAATAAACCACACATTCCACATTGCTCCATTATTAATGCGCGCATTTCACATTTCAGAGACCCGATTACCCAACTGGCAAAATCTTCAGAATAAATGCTCACAGTTCAATCAACTGACATATTTGCGTTTTTAATAAAAAAAAAAAACTAATTTCATGATTATTTCGCTACGCTTGCACCATTCCCACTGACAAGTTTGATTTAATTTTCTTTTAATTGTTTTTAATTAACCTTGTGAAAACTACAACGATGAATGAACCAACACCAAGAATGCTTTCTGATCATTAGAATAGCGTCAAGTTTACAATGTTGTCATTCCACCGTGAAGATTTCCGTTTCCTTTTAAACACAGATAAATACCTCCGCGTAGAAGGCAGGGCCGGCTTGGGCTGGGCTAAAAACTGTTCGCTTAGTAATTTTTTGAAAATCGTAGATTATCTCGTAGAAACAACATTCAGTACTTTACCACAATTGGTAAAAAAAAAACGAAGACTTCTAAATATGATGATATCTTAAAAAACAAGTATTTTTAGTATTTTAAATAAAAAATATTTTAGAGAATTAAAGGTTATTCCCACGTTTCAATTTATTAATAATTAATAAATAAAATAACTTGAGGAGCTTTTACTATGTCCTATTTTTCATCATAATGTAACAATCGTTTTTAAATTTAATTTTGTTTGATTAACACGGATAAGTTTATAAAAAGAAAGTAAAAAAACTCATTAATTAATCGACGTCGGCAAAAACTCGCTTAATTAGTCACACCAGACGTAAACTTGAAAATTTCTAACTTCGTACAATTTCTTGTACATTTTTAATTTTTTTTTAATTTTTATTTTAAAACATATCAATTACTAACATCATCCGTTATAAAAGTATTTTTCTTAAAGTTATGGAACAGAATTTATATTCTTTAAGTTGATAGACGAATTAAGTAAAAATTTGACAAACTATACACATGCACATTTCACGGTCTATTTTGTCAACTATTGTTGTTGTTTTTCGTGGATTTTGGGTGACTTTAAATTTTTTCAATTTTTGCTTCAAAAACTCACTAAATTGAGTTTCTGATTTGCAAAATCACGTGACAAACAAAATTTCGCAAGTAAAAATCACCTACGACAAGTGGTTTTTAAGTCATATGCTTAAATTCAGTCGTTTTTTGGTAAAAATTCAAAATTCAAACATTTTGTGAAAATCAGAGAAGTTAAAAATTTCTAATTTTGTCGCAAAATTCAGGTTTTCCAGACCTGAAGTGACCTAAAATTGTTTTTAAAACGAAAAGCTCGCTAAGCTGGGTGGCTAAGACGGAAAATCGAGCGAAAAACACGATTCCGCAAGTCAGGATTACCTAGGAGAAGTGACTTTTAAGTTATAGACTTAACTTTAATCGTTTTACGGCGAAAATTTAAAAAATTTGGAAAAATCCTAAAAAATTACAATTTTGTCTCAAAAATTAGGTTTTCTAAACCTAAAATCTCACTAGAAACGCAATTCTGTTTCATTTTTGTTGTTGTATTATTTTTTGTTGATTTTTAGCGATTTTTTTGTTGATTTTTGGGTGACCATAAATTTTTTTGATTTTTACGCCGAAAAACTCTGTAAATTGAGTTGCTAAGACAGAAAATCACGATTCAGCAAGTCAAGATTACCTATAACAAGTTATACCTAGACTTAAATTTAATCGTTTTACGGCGAAAATTAAAAAATTTTAGAAAAAGCCGAAAAATAAAAGATTTGCAAGTTTGTCTCAAAATTCAGGTTATCTAGACAAGAAAAGTCTCACCAGACACACAATTCTGTTTTATTTTTGCTGTTGCTTTTTTATTTTTTGTTGATTTATGTTGATATATTTTTTTTTTCGATTTTTTTTACTCAAAAAACTTTCTAAATAAGGATTCTGAGGCGCAAAATCGAGTGAAAAACACAATTCCGCAAGGCAAGATTATACGTTAGGCTATAGGCTCAAATTCGATTAGTTTCTGGCAAAAACTCCAAAATTTTGGAAAAATTAGAAAAGTAAAAAATTCCAAATTATGCCGCAAAATTCAGATTTTCTAGACATAAAATCTCACGGGAAATGAAATTGTGTTTAATTTTTGTTGTCGTTTTTTAATTTTTTTGTGACTTTTGGGTAACTTCAAAATTTTTTTCGATTTATTTTGACTCGACAAACTCTGAGACGCGAGTTGAAAAAGCCAATTTCGCAAGACAAGCTTAAGTTCAGTCGTTTTTTGACAAAAATTCGAAAATTTTAGAAAAATGAGAAAATATTATTTCCAATTTTGTCACAAAACTCAGGTCTTCTAGACGTAAAATTTCACGAGAAATACAATTCTGTTTGATTCAGATTTTACATTGAATTTCGTTGTTTTTTGTCGATTATTGTGTTTTTATATTCCGAAATATTAATTGCTACAATGCGCTAATTAGCCACAAATGTGGTTTATTTTTTATACAATGTGTTTGCAAGGGTGGATGTGAAAAATAAATCCATTCGTGCTGCTAGAAACGTTCATAACCGATTATTTTAGTAAAAATATGTAGTTGGGAATTAAGCACACATAGTTATTGACCATAAAAATAATTTGTACGATATTGCCTAATAAAACAGTGAAATGAATGTTTTTTTCATTAAGATCTTAAATATAGGTAAGTTGGGTATAATAAAGTCTCTCGAATCAGTTATAAGATAAGAACTTTCTGCACGAAATAATCTAATACAATTAAGCTAAAAATAGCCCCTCTATAATAATAGTAATTCTCTTGAGAAATAACAACAACCGCAAGTTCGTTGCATATTTATCCGTTGGAAGAAAAACGGCCGTGTCAAGTTTTACGAAGTAGTAAATTTTTAAAATCCGGCTCTGTCTACGCCGCCTAAATAGCCAAATACCTCGGCACAACAAAGACCTGTTCGGTGTCCGGAGAAATAAATTAGTGTGACTGGCTGAAGCCCCGACACAACAGAATAAAATCCTTAAAGTATAGAATGGTGTCAAAGCCCAACCTTGAAACTTTCCTAATTGGCCGTTTCACACCAGGTACCGTCCCAATTCATTGAATTTTCGGTTGTTATTAATGAGAGCATGTAGTTGGGCCCCAACAAAAATCAGTACGTTGATGCGGTGGTTACTTGTGAACCAGTGCGCAACGCCGCCGAGGAGATGGTGACGGGGCCCGAGGCGCGAGACAACGAGGAAGGAGTAGACAGCCCTCTCATTCAGTCATCGTTCGGCGTCCGTGATGTTCGCGCATGGGGCACCCATGGGGCTAAGCACTTAATCAGTCGTCGACGTGTCGTGCAACATGGTGTTGGTGGTGGGGCTTGTGACTCTCCTAGTGCTCACCCCCTGCTTGGGGGGCAACTGCCCGTCCCCCTGCACCTGCAAATGGAAAGGGGGCAAACAAACAGTGGAGTGCACGGAGCGAGGACTCATCACGATCCCCGAGAGCGTCGATCCGGAGACGCAAGTATTGGATTTGTCCGGAAATAATTTGCAGATCTTGCCCAGAGAGACTTTCGTACGGTCGGGGCTACTCAACCTCCAGCGAGTGTTCCTAAGACGTTGTCGGATCGGCCAAATCGACAATCTCGCCTTCAGAGGATTGACGAATTTGATCGAATTGGACTTGTCGCACAATCTACTGACGGCGGTACCATCCGGGACGTTCCGGGACGTACCCTTCCTCCGGGATTTGGTACTCGCCTACAACCCGATCCAAAAAATCGACAGTCAAGCCTTTAAAACAATCCCGGGATTGATCAAACTCGATCTATCCAATTGTGAGATCCAAGTCATTGCCTCGAAGGCGTTTGAAGGGATTGAAATGTTGGAGTCGCTCAAGTTGAACGGAAACCGGCTCTCGGAGTTACGACTGAGGACAGTGGAGACCCTCAACAGACTCCATGGGATTGAAATGCATGACAATCCCTGGCATTGCGACTGTCGTTTAAGAGCCGTCAAGGAATGGCTCGTTAATAACAATATTCCTTACCCCATCTCACCTGTCTGTTCCGGAGGCCCGGAAAGACTCATCGATAAGACCTTCACCGAGCTTCACATCGACGATTTCGCTTGTAAACCTGAAATTCTCCCAGTAAATCGCTACATTGAAGCGACTTCCGGTTCAAACGCCACGATTTTATGCCGCGCCAATGCCATCCCAGTCGCTAACATCAACTGGTATTGGAACGGCCGCCCCCTTTTGAACAACTCGGCTTTCAGCTCGCATCAAAGAATCCACGTTTTCGAGGAGGGCAAGCAAGAGAAACGCAGTGTTTTAGTGTTGACAAACGTCCAAGAGATCAATTCGAGTGAATTTTATTGTGTGGCGGAGAACAGGGCTGGTAACGCCGAAGCCAATTTCACTCTTCATGTCACAATGCGGGCTGCAGGGATCACCACTCTTGGTAGCGGCCAAATCGCTGGTCTCAGTGTCGCTCTCATCATCCTCATAATTTTTATCTTGTTGGTCATTTTCGTGCTACTTGTCCGTCTCCGGCGCATCCCTTTCTCCGAGAGCAAAACTGAAGTCGTCACTGTGGTCAACGGGACCTCCAATGGCAAAGTGGAGGAACCCTCAACGGGTCATACCAAACCCACTGAGTTGAATTTCTGCAATCCTGTTCAAAAACCGCCCCGATTGAGCGACTCGACGATCCCTGCGTCCTGTTTTGTGTCTCCCTCGTCGGCCTCCGGGAACAACCCTGACCTGATCAACGACACCAAGCCCTCGGAGGAGTGCGAGGTTGTGGAGAGGCCCGCCAGTGGCGAGTATAGTCGCAACGCTGATTCGCTCTATCCCTCGGGATTGTGGGAGACGGAGTATTCGCGTCAGGTGAATTTCTATGATGACAAGACGCCGATTATGGACGGGATGAGTGGCGGAGGGTCATTGGAGGAGTTGGCGTTTAGGGCGCAAGGGTATCCGGCTGATTATGGGCTTCCCATCGCTGATAAACAACAAACTTTGCCCACGAATGCGAAAACGCTGAGGGTGTGGCAGAAGGGAGGTGTTCCCGTTTTGCCTCCGGTGACGGCACTCAAAAGGGCGCTCACTCATAGCAGAAATTCCCCCGATGAAGGGTACCAAGAAGGCTGCGGGACTGACGTTTAAGTGTGAATTTACCAAAGACACTGGTTGTGCTGTGATGACTACACCGGAAAGGGGATATTTAGATAAGTTTGTATTTCCTTATGTGATAATTGTTTCGTAGCGAAACTTGTAAATATTGTGTATAGACTGTAGATAATGTTGTTTATGGCGTTATGAAATTCATAGACTAAGTATACATGCTCAAAAGACTGACCATTTATATTTAATAACTCGAAATTCATTTCCAGATCCCCCATTTCATTTATTTTTCTATTTATTGTAAATGTTCATTGTCAGCAACTATAGCAAAGATTTTTATGTAACATAATAGTGTATTGTTGTTTGCAACAGACGTGTAAATGTTAATATATTACAATGTTATACCCTAAATTAACGGTACCTAATATCAATTAATAATAATAATTCAGTATTCTTAATGTTACCAACATGTATATAAATGTGAAAACGGTGCGTAACTTTTGGTAATAAACAATTTAAAAGATACTCATGTTTCATTCCAATTTCTCACACTCACGATAATATCACTAACCCAAAGACATCAATTTATCCCAATAGCCATTTTTCAACGGAAACAGGATATAACCACCTCCTCAAACGGGACACAGGATATGAAAATCCTACGTCAAACACAACACCGAATTCGGATAATCTCCAAAATAATTAACACTCAAGGGGCGAACTATCTGATGGCCTTGACTTAATACAGGCTGTCCCAGTAAGTGAATAAAGTCATTATTGACCATTAATTGTTTAATTAATTCAACTATACAGCGTGCTCCAAAAATAAGTTACAATACAAACTTACGTTTTTTTAATGAAACACAATATGTTTCTTAGTATTTCTAGAAGCAGATTTTTATTTCAATGTTTTTCAGTTGATCTTTTAAAAATTTATTACACAAAAACTAAGACAGTTAGAATTTTTTACAACAGCAAAGAAAAAAGTACAAACTTTAAGACCATAACAATTTTTTAGTGTGGTGCAAATGAAAAATTTATTAAATGGTACACCCTATTTTTTATTTCTGCATCTAAGAGATTATTAAATTATTTTTCCAAAAACATTTTTTTAAGTGCCAACACTAAATTACTAAAAAGATACATATTTAACGATAAACATTTTAAAAAAATAATCATTATTTCAATAGCCAATAAGTGCACATTTGCACAAGAAATGAACGATATTCTAAAACATTACTTTGTACTTTGGTAGCAGAAAATTTGAAGTTGAAAGCTTGTTAAATTAATTATGCAGGATGTCCCAGCGGGTTGGTAAAGTCCATTATTGACCTTTAATTGTTAAAATTTTAATGTGGGAAATTTATAAATAAAGTAGTGCATCGTCTGAAATTATTTTCAACTATACAGCGTGTCCCAAAAATAAGTTACAATTCGAACTTATGTCTTCTAAATGAAACGCTATATGTTTCTTGGCATTTCTGGATGTGGCTTTTTGTTACAATGATTTTAAGCTAGAATTGGTCGATTTTGTTTGAGTTTTTGAAATAAAATGGTTTGTTGACGACAACTTATTCTTCAAAAATTTATTACACAAACTAAAACAACTAAAAATTATTTTTACAACTTCAAAGAAAAAAGTACAACACTTTTTTAGAGTGTTGCACTTCTAGAGATAAAAAAATAAGAAGAAAAACAACGCCCTATTTTTTGTTTCTGCATCTAAGAGATTATTAAATTATATTTACAAAAACATTTACTTTTAAGTAAAAACGTTTGAAAAAATTAATCATTATTTCAATAGCCAAAAGAGATGAAAGAAATATCACTCAACAATTACATTTATATTACACTAAATCCAATATTCTTTATTTTTACAATTAATAATATTAATTTACAATTAATAAAACAATTCAAATTTCAATATTTATTTCGGCTTTTACAAGTTTTAAATAAGTGATTCGTGGTGGAATTATTGTAGTTGCCTTGGTATTAAAAAATGCTCATTTTAATAATAAGCAGTGTTGCTACAATTAACATTTAGTTCTCTCTCCTATTTTATCAATTTTAGACATTAAAAGTTATTTTTTTAGATAGACAATCAGTTTATTTCAGATGCAAAAATAGAAATTAAAATTTCCAATTATTTAGCTTTTAATAAACTTCTCCATTTTTTTAACTTTTAGATTGCAATACATTAAAAAAATGTTATAGTCTTAAAATTCGTACTTTTCTCTGTACAGTGGTAGTTTTTTTCTAGTTTGTATTGGGATACGCTGTGGAGTTGAAAATAATTTCAGGTCAATTGCCTAAAAATTTACCAACTAGCTGGGACACCCTGTATATGATAATAATTATCATAAAGTAATTTATAAAAGCATCGGAGCGAGAATATGGAGTGGTAATAAAATCTGTAATGGGCGTCGATTAAGTTAAAGTTTGTATGTCAGATTTGCTGAAAATTTTTTAATGACTAATTAAAGAAGTCTCACTTTATTGCCACCCAATTAAAACAAACTTCACGCTTTTGGGTGCGCGTTTCAAGAATCAGACACCGAATGAATTTGAGTATTTTTTTCAAGACTCAAGTCCTGTTATGATATGGTGTAAAATTTCAGTTCCAGATGGATTGTTGGGAACAATGAATCGGATACGACAAGTTTCTGCGTCTGGTTACAAAAAGTTGTTTTCAATAGCAGTTTTGTTTTATTTGTAAATCCACTACATTGTGGTTCAACTTCTCGTTTCAATGACACTATAGACATGCTTGATTTAATCTGCTCATCACTCAGGTTTGATAATTTTCAAACCCTACTGTTTTATTATCTATTATCGATAAAAACAGCAATGATTTGAAAACAACTGAGAACCCCTAATAGCGCCCCTCCTAGTAGTGAAAGTCGTTACCTCAAACACGGAATTATTTCCAGCAAATTTGCTAAATTATCGAAACAAGAAACATATTGCTAACGGAAGGGTTTCCTTTTTGTTTCGTGAAAGGCACCGAAAAAGCCGAACTTTCTTACGGCTCGAAAATGAATTGCTTTAATTGTTTTAGTACTAAGTGTACCGTAAATTTGATTTGAAACTTTTGCATAACGAGGGTGTAACAAGCCGTCGTGAGTGGCGCACGTGCTACTTCAGAACTTTCAACGACCTGACCAGCAGTTATGTCACCCTAAACGTGATAATAATGATAAATATGTTTTTCGCGCTACTTTGAAATATGCCTTTTTAACTGTGTATAACTGGTTGCCGCCCACGATTGTTCAAACTGGACAAAAAAATGTTTCAGTAATGACTAAAATATACAGGATGTAACAAAAAGATGCACACAAAGAGGTCAAAATAAGGCGATTTAACCCAAGTTGCACCGTTTAAAAGTTAAGTTATTCTCGCTTTTCTTTAATAATTCTTTAATGAAGTAAAAACCTGGTGTTTTAGTGCTGTTTTTGTATTGACCTTGGTTTAAGAATAAAAAAATTATTTAACCAACAATCGAGTAAAAAATAATCCTATCAAAATTACTCCATTTATTAATAATGTTTTTAAAATTGTATTTAAAAACTTAGGTTTTAGTTTCTTTAAGTAAATTTTTGAAGCTACAAACATTCCCTATACCTACGTTTAATGGTTTTCAAGTTGTCTTAAACTTTTCTTTTCTAATTACCTAAATACGAATTCATAATAGTTAAAAATGGCAAAGTTATAGATTTTTAAAGTGAACTTTGAAAAAATTCTAAAAATCTCAAAAAAAACTAAACTTAGATATTAGGAAAGTTTGAAAAACTCAAGAAATCCAAAAACTCAATAGAAAACACAACTTTCTATTTAAAATAACACAGTTGATCCCCACTTCCGGACACTATTTTGAAAATATTTTTATTAACAAGACCCTAACCGATTAAGGCTATATGCAATTTTATACTTAAATATCATTGTCAGAAGTCACAATACTTCTAATGTGGAGTTTAGCCGGAACACTCTGTATAATTAACAACTTCACCGTCGAGTTGAATCGCTAATTTTAAATAAAACAATGCATTCAAGAATTTGTATCATAATAATTAGAAAAGTAAAAAATGTAGATTTTTAATGACCATTTGATAATTTGTTTTATTTTGAGGTTTTTTATAATTAAAAGATTTTAAAAATATCATTTTATCAAATTTAATGAAAGTTTCCTGTTCTTGCCACCTAATCCTAATCGATAAAAAATTGTTTCAAATCAAATGATGGAATTTTTTATCTATTTAT